TAGCCAGACAAGTTGGAACAAACTTTTCCCTTATAGTCACTACCACATTTATTCCATTTATACACATCGCTCCTACTAATATAATCCTCGGTACCAGTCCTTTTATTTTTGTTTCGTTATGAGTACTTGCACGTTATTTAAGGTACTGATTAACAGGTACTAGAACATCGAGTTATATAGGTTTGGTCAAGCGTTACATAACAGTAATACAACTAGTCTCCCACGCCTGTCGTAGAAATCCGCTCCATCCTTTCAGCTGAGCATACTTCATTCAACCTGATCGTTTATGGTGCCCTGGACTTGGATAAATCTTTAATTCTGGGCAACGTGATTCCTCCTTTAACCTTTAGGTCTATTGAAATGGCTGAGATTCGTTGGCATGCCATTTTAAGTAAGCTTCTATACTGTCAACCAAGTGTGACATAAATTCTGTTGTACCTCTTGGGGATGAGTCGTTGGAGAGATAAGCCCAGACAGTGCCTTTCTTTTAAGAAACGAAACAATATTTATATCTTTGTCAGGAGAAGGTCAAACGCCTCAAGAGGCTGGATGCTAACTTTTACGAAACGGTTCAAGAAAAAGTTTATCCTATCACTTTTGATATCTGTAGCATATATTCGAAATTATACCGTGTGCCCATTGCAAAACAGGTACAAAAATCAAACAAATGTCTGGCTTGTTCAGCTGAATTTGTCGACCGAAACATCTGGTTACGAATGGTATTTCAAAGCTTTATTCTGTAGATTTGCTTACAATCAACAGATGTGTGCTACGGTCTTTCAGAAAAACAACAAAAAGCATCGTGGCAATAATTCAACCCTGCTTAAAACCATTTTTAAACTTTTCCCGTCGAAAATAAAGAGTTAGTGTCCGAATGACGTTATTCTCAGTGGTGTTTCCCTGGAAGTGAGAGAAATCTTGGAAGACAACGAAAAGAGTTCTAAACAAGCATGTGTTTGCTTACTTTACAGTTTCTATGATGAGCACGTTGTAAGAATCCTTAGAACCAAAATGTTCACTTATAAACTGTTCAGAATCAAAGAAGATGCGTGGACTCCCTTTGAGCTTCATTCGCTTCCTAATCCATCTCGTCGCCCACTGAGCATAATTTGACGGTCTGCAATCTACATGCCACGGCATGAAGTCAGTCGTCAAAAGACCAAACCTTCCCTCGAGCTTAATCCACATAGATGTGGGGGAAAGTCGGTGTAAACTGAAGTTTTTCACATGTAGCATATTGCATAATGGCTATGATGGTTACGCGCTAAAGGTTCGGATGAGCTGAAACATGGTGGTTAATCCCATCACAAGCTTCAATGCCTAATGGTGGCACTGCACCTTTATTGTCGAAGCAAGGGCAGTGACATAAGATTCACTTGTTAAGAATACGTTTATCAGTGATGCAACCTGAATGAAGCTTAAACGTGTTCGTAAATGTATCTTTTTAAGTAAAGGGTAGCCCAAAGTACTTTGGATGCACAGAGGAACATGGCATGCTTCGACGAAGCCACAAGTGTGCTCATTGAACAGATGGATTTCCTTGGCACGATGGTGGGTATGTGAAACGCGGAACATTTTGGACTGACGACCAAAGTTTATTCGGTATTAAGTTGACGAAGATGCAAACGCAATACCGACAAAAAGAAGCGAGTAGCTGGCCCTTGTTCGTTACGCAGCCTTTATCTAGCGTATTTTGCTAGAGGATAGGTATATGCCATACCTATCATAATTTATAAGATTGCAGACTGCTACTGCGGTGACTGTTCAGACTGTAGCGAGTTTAGGACCACTAATGGTTTTGACTGTGGTTCTTTAAGGTAGCTATGATCTTAATGGTCCCATCAACTAGTGTTTCCTTTATAGTCACCTTTCACTTAT